AATTCATTTTCTACTGCTAAACCATTTTTTAATTCTCTATCATCAAACCACTTTAAAAGTGTCTATGATGTAGTCTTAGATTCAGCTTACATTTTTTGTTTTTTGTTCTATTTGCTTACTGAGAGACAGGGTCTCACTGGATAGTCCAAGCTGGCCTCTGACTCAGGACCCTCCTCCTTGAGACTCCTGCATTATCATGCCTGGTTCTCGATTTGGCTCTCTAATATTCCACTTTGGAGTATGTAAGATTGGTCTGTAATCTCTCTCTACTTGAGTGGCACTTTTACCAGGACTATTTTATATACAAGCTCTCTGTATCCATTAGAATGGTTTACAAATTACAAAACATGTTATTTCCTCAATGGTTATAATAGCAACGTTGGCCAAAACTATACAGTGTTCACCTTTTTCCTGTTTGAAACTACTCTAGAGCAGACACCCTTTCACACAGCCAATTTCAACAAACATTTACTAAATTTATGAATTTTTTGATGCGTATGTCAAGAAACCTTAAAAACAAAAACAAAAAATGAGGACCACCCCATAAAACAGTGCAAATTTATAAATTAGGGAATAAACATATAGACCGTGTTCCCGTGAAATTGTAATTCAAATACAAACTCCACAAACATCACAGAAATCAAGGGCAAGGCTGGAAGGCAAATGTTTACAGCTAAGATACTAAATTGGCATAGACTGGAAACTCTTTCCATGAAGCCCTTTAACCATCAATGCACTCATCTTCAATAGTGGTTCTCATGTGTGTAAACCCTATAGCAATGACCAAAATACTTAAGAACAAAATTATCAAAAAAAGCATTATGGTTTTAGGTTTTAGTTTTTTTCATGGAGAATATGGGACATTACTATCCTGTACAGAGACTAGAGACATTATTATCCACTTCAGACCAATATTCCAGGCCATGTCCTCAGACTTCTTAGGAAAAAAGAGGGAGGAGCTCAGAAATCAGCCATATTTCCCAAGTAGGAATAAAAGTCTAGCACTAGTGACTTCACTGGGGCTGAAATAATGACTTTTAAATTTCTGCTTCCATTTTCTCCTCCTCCACCTCATAATTTCCATTAAATATTCTCCTAAGTCAGGTGTCCCTTATTTTCTATGTGGATCAAAGGCTCTTTTTACTTTCATGTTCCTATAAGGAGTAAGACACCACATCAAATGGTTTTATATTTGGTTAACCAATAATTAAGAAAATCTTACACTAGGGAAGGGACCATCTATGCTAAAATGGGAGGCTCAATCACTGCCACTTTTACCAAATTTTGAATTTTCTCTGTAACACCCCAGTAGGTATCGAATTACTGCTTAAATATTTTATTGTGTAGAACTTAAATTTTAGATTGTAGCCTATTTTTAGGGGGAAAAAAGAAATTTAAGCTAGTCATTGAACACACAATATGTCATAAAGCCTGGCCTCAAGAATATGGAATCTGCATACTATATACTAAGCCGAAATCACACATGTGCTAATTTTACTTCATTTGTTCCTGTTCTCGGTGATCACCTACAACCAAATCTTAAAAAATCCTTGTAAATATTTAACAGGACTTGAGGTATCTTCAAATACATGAAAAGGAAGTTGAAAGATTTGTTACCCATTAGATTATCATACAATACTCAACTTATAAATTTATGTCTCCTAATTAGTACATGAGGTTTGGCTTCTGAAAAAGCAAAGCTTGTATGTTTAGGAGACACTATAAAAGAGTTTCTTTACCACTGTAGACTAAAGGAACAATGAAAGTGGACCTTTCCATGCAGTGACTGTTAACTGTTTTACCCAAAGTATCCTACAGAAGACATGGGAACTTTATCTACTAAATGATGGTATAATGAATGAAATTCAAAAATAACTGAGAAAAATCTCAGGTTATTGAAATTACTGGCACTAAAATTGAAAAAAAAGTTCAGCAGAAAGATGTTTTGCAAGAATGATTATTACAGGACATAGATGCTAAAAAAGTCCTTAACTAGTATGATTTTTTACTAGGGCTGGCATAATCAAAGAAGCTAGCACAGTGAAACTGTTCCCCATGTTTTTATATTTAGAGCTTAAAAATCATTCTCCTAAATAAAACACTTCCAGGCTCATTATTATCAAACAAAATACAAAAACAAAAAATCCATATATTATTATTATTATTATTTTTTTTTTTTTTTAGGATATGTACTTGAATAATCTCCTATACTTATGAATCATTATCTCTTACAATGCTAATCAGACTCTGGCAGTAGCCATTCATAACATGCTTATTTTGCCAAGTAGGTGGTAATTACAAAAAAAATACAGTTTTGTTTTTTTCATTATGTCAGTTTTAAGAAATACTCTTTTATTTTATTTGAAGAGTACAAACAAATCCCCTCAGTAAATTTCAGCTTATTTGAGACAGGATTTACTATGTAACCCAAGTTAGACTCAAACTCCAAGGCATTTTAAAATAACAATATAAATGTTGATGTGATTTTTTAAAGGCAGATTTACACACAAACATTAAAAAAGCATTTTCTTAGTAGAATAAAATTTTAAATGGTTTTAAACCACTATAAGACCAAAATTATTATTCATGTATCTTAAACCTAACAAAGTATGTCATTAGGTATTACAGCTTTTAAAGTTTCACAAAGCATATAGTTTAGAAATATATATATAAACCAAAGTTCAACTTAATTTATTGGTTTAATATTTCTATCATATGTCCATAGTTGCTGGGAGGGATAAAAAAGAACATCAATGAGAAAGGACAGAAAGTGTGCACACCAAATAAAGGGTATGTGAAATGTTGGGGAAAACTCAACTCCTGAATCTTGTAAAAGGGACCTAAGAACTAGAGAAATTCAGTGATTTAGGTTAAACCAGCCATTTCCTTTAACAAACCTGTATCTAAAGCTTTTAAGAATATCTTTAAAATGGAGTACTGAAGCCAGATCACACTTATAGAAAGATCTCAGTAGCACCACTACACAAATGAAAGCCAAATACCACATTCTGGCCCCTTCAAAACCTTTGCAATCAACCAAACTGCCATAGACCTGCCATTCCCTGAACCAAATACTCTTTCCCAGAAAATGATGTTTCTGTTGTTGCTGACTGGCAAACAGAAGCTTCTTCAAAACTATTTCACAAACTTCTAACCTATATTATTAGGATATTTCAAAGGAATGAACATACACTCTTCTCCCCTCTGAACTGGAGACAAGATCTCTCTCTCTCTAGTAGGCAAACCACAAACTTGCAATGCTCCTGTCTCAGCCTCCAGAGTGCTGGGTTTACAGTTTTGTATACCCATACCAAGGATCTTTTTTCTTTTCAGATCAATTATATAGGACCAAAAAAACCCACACTCACTGAAGGAGGATGAGAAAGGAAGGAGGATGTGGTTTTTCATTGTTTTGGAGACCACTGTGAATGCAATGTCTGAACAGGAAATGTTTTACAGACTTCTACATGAAAATAAGCAAGTCTCTCAATCAACAAGCTACAGTAGTAAAAGCAGTTTCCATGAACTTGGTACTAATTAAAATTATAGGTATTTTCATATTACAACTATATGCATCCAAATAGGTAGCAGTGGTTAGCGGTTGTTCTAAAGCAGTGGTTCTCAACCTTCTTAATGCTGTGACCCTTTAAAACTGTTACGGTGAACATCCCCCAACCATAAAATTATTTTTGTTGCTACTTCATAACTGTAATTTCGCTACTGTTATGGATCATAATGTAAATATTTGTATTTTCCGATGGTCTTAGGCAACCCCTTTGAATGGGGTTGCCTGTTCAGCTTCTCCAAAGGAGTCATGACCCACAAGGTGAGAACTGCTGTTCGAAAGCTTACACTCGGGTGGAAGGGCATACCAGCCTATCATAAATCTGCATTCATAATATACATGACAGTATTTCAATTTAACTGGCCGCCTCACACAATCATGAATGAATCATTAGAACCATTACTATGGGCCAGAGATCACAGGCTCCTATACATTAGCAAAGATGTCCTAGGCATGATAACTGGTGACACACAGATCAGAGGAAATAATGACAATTCTGAAAGGTCCTCATGAGCACTATCATATCTATTTTATAATAAATGACTGGTTTTGAAATGTAAGTGTGTTTTCCTTTGTAACTCAGAAGATATAATTTTAAGTATTTAAAAATTTAAATTAGATATTTAAAAATACCTTAAAGTTTAAAAAATAAAAATATTTTAAAAACAATTTTTACTTAAAGACCACAAAGTACACTTATAAAAATAAGATTTTTAAATATCTATAAACTTCTGTAAGATATTGGCAAAATAAATAATAAAAGAATTACAGATATTTATGTACTCAAGACCCTTCAATTTTAGTATTCACTACTTCTAATATTTTTAAGCATTTTAAATTAATCTTTGCTATTTATTTAATTTGTATGTGTTCATGTACACATGTATGTGTGAGTGTGCACCTGGAGGTCACAGAACTTGTTCTGGAACTCCAACTCAGCTTTCAGAGTCATGGCAAGTACTTTCACCTCCTGTGCCATCTCACTAAAACCTTTGGACATTATTTTTAAAGGATTAAAGATAGAATTCTTATTTAAAAGACAGAACTCTTATTTAAGACAATGTATAAAAGTATCTTTCTTTCTAAATCCCAATGGATAGGTATCATATTCTCCTTCCCCTTTTTTCTTTCTCCCCCTTTCTTTATACTATTAAATTTATATATTGAACTTTTATTGCTCAATCCTGCTGAATACAGATAAACAATGGAGAAAGGAATCCAACGAAAACCATATACCTCTCCTTTTCAAAAGTGCTGTCAGTGAAAGTTCTTACTAATTTACATGTTTCCCCATTATTCCCTATTATAAGCAAGAAATTACACAGTATTATCTAAATATACTTCTAGTAATTCAATATAAAAAACTTTTACCTAAATTACATTTTCTTAATGTAGGTTTATATTTATATATCATTTCCCCCAAAGACATATTTACCTTCAGCCAGTGCTGGTGATTCTGTCCTTGTCCTTCTATCTGTTTGAAGAAAAGAAAGGGGAGAGTCTAAAACATCATACTTTCAATTAAATCATTACAAACTAACTCAACTGTAAGTACCCGAGTTTCCCAGACCCATAGAGAACATAATGGCACATGCCTTACCACCCAGTATCAGAAGGGAAGGGAACACAGAGATTCTACCAAGTCCTCAGGCCTACTAACAGCGTACTAACAAACCACTTCAGGTTCAGTTAAAGACTGTGAGACATACACACACACACACATGCAAGCACGTGACTTCTGGGCTCCACATGTATACACACAAATACCTACACAAAAAAGCACATATATTATATATACACACCATATCACACCACACATTCATGAATGCTCTAACACATGTATTTCCTTGGATGAATATAACCACTATAATATGACGGGCCTACTACAAGAAAAGTATATTAAGCCCTACAAGAACACCAACAAATGGTAAAACAGCAAGGATGAAACATTCAAAGACAAACAGTACACCAAAAAGATAATTCAATTCTCAGTGTATAAAAAAGGTTAAAAAAAAGAGAGACAATTGGCAATTTCTCTGTATCCTGATCACGGGTGGGCCAAAGGGACCTATTTCTGTAGTTACCATAGTTGAAGCTCACCTGGTGACAAAGTCTTCAATGCCAGTCTTATTTGAGGTGTTAAAACTCACATTCCATGATAATAGCCCATCATTTACTACTAGCAGATTTGGCAAAAACCAAAAGAAGCCACAAAGTGCTTTTAAGATGGGTTTTTAACCACTTGAAAATGACTATATTATAATTTTGTAACTAAGAATACCTTAAAAAAATATCAGAGACACATTTCATTGTAATGGCTTAGTTCACGCATAAAATTATCTGACTAATGAAACTGTTTTATAATGGAAATTATAATGGAAATTTTTATAATGGAAATTTCTTTTCTTGATAGTTTATTTTATAACTCAGGAGTCCTGAATTTAACAAACACAATTTCCATGTAATACTACTGGGTAGCATCTTAGAGAGATGTAGCACTGTCATCCCAGATGGTAAATGATCTTACGCTTAACACTGTCTTCTACATGCTGAAATGTGTCTCTGATATTTTTTTTAATGAGTCAACAAATATAAGCAAAAAGAGAGCAAATAAAGTCCATTCATCCAAGTCCTCCAGATTAGTTTTTTATTTGCTTGCTTTTTAAGGGCAGGGGTGGGCAAGAGAAGACCTTCTACAGGGGAAACGGGAGAGCTATGCAAAATACTGAGCATTAACTGCTGTCTGGCTATTTCCAACTCCTTACTTTGAAACAGTGTGTTAAAGTTACTGTGGGTAGAAGATTTAAAGGCTGGGCAAGAAACTAACCCTAACAATCATAAGGCCTTCTCGATGCCACTTCACAGCGCAAACAAGAAGGCATATATATACCAAGGACATAGTATTGGGAACAGTATCCTGTTTAGTGATAACTAATTGGGCATCTACTGTAACTATGCCACAAAACAGATAAATCAACTAAAGAAACTGGACCCTTGGGGAAGAAGGCCAAGCCACTCAGGAAAAAGCCTACTGAAGCGTTAGCTAAAAGGAAGGAAGACCAAGAACATGGAGATGTGCCTCTTTCTACTGACTCCTGCTAGCTATCTATTACAGAGATTATGAATAGCACCTAACAGACAGCACAGGGAGTGGGCTACAAAGGATGTCTTACTCCAATGAAATCTCAACCACATTTTCTGTGGCTCACTGACTGCCGTGGGAGTTTGCCTAAGACATGTCCATAAAACTCTAAACCTCCACAGACAGAGAACAGAATGTAAGAGTGTTAATGTAATGGCCAACTTTTGACCAACAGGAGAAGAAAACTGGTAAATTCTCTCTTTGGCTCTTATTTGAAAGTATGGTTTTCTTTTCTTCTCAAAGACTTTCTCAAGAACAAGTCAGTTGCTGACAAAAGTGACCTGCTCAATAAGACATCTTTGAATGGTCTTTCCTTCCCATTTTACTTCCCCCCCTTCCAACTATTTCTTTCTTAACAGTGCCCCACTGAGATACCTGCAACAGTCTGTTTAGCACTATTTCTGAAGTGAAACCAGATTATTTATCTTCTAAATCACCCTACGACACTGAAAAGTCCTCAGTCTCCTTTCTTGATCTCTTCTTCCCTCAACCTCCTAAAATTGTCATGTCCAGGCAACAGTTCTAGGTCCTTTGCTCCCTTCAGGATCTCACTCTGATTCACAACTTTATTGAATAGTTAGATAGCTCAAGCTTTCTTAACAGGCCTCTCTAATTTGGCACTTACACAGTTACCACCTACTCAGTTTCTCCAAGGGATATTTAAACTTTACATGTCCCACACTGAACTCTTCTTTTTACTACTAAAATCTGATCTACTTGAAGTAACCTCCACCTCATGTGACAACTCTGCCTTTCCAGGTTTTCCAGTTAAAAATCTGGGATTCCTCATCCACTTCTCTCTCTACTCTCCATGTTCTACTCTAAAAGCCTCACTCTATTAGTTGTATTATATCTACAAACTCTTCAGGTTCTACATAAGTCATAAAGGTTAGCAAATACAGAGCTAGGAACACTTTAGGTAGAAGTGCTAACTAGGGCAAGCACACAGTTGTATGCTTTATCCAACAGTAAGGCAAACAAAATACTATGTAGACTTCGGTGATCAATCCACTGATTTGAAACTTCTGTTTTAGAACTTCAAACTATCTAAAATTTATTAGAGTATTAACCCTAAATCATTCATTTTCATCTACATATGTGAGTCACTCATGATCCAAGCCCAACATATCACTGTGGTTTATCCACAAAAAAAAAAAAAAAAAAAAGGATGTAAGTACCAAGTTAACACCTTTGGGAATGTATTGCTATGGTCTTCCCTTTATACTACAAAAGAAAATAATGGTTGGCTTTAGGCTATCTAAGAGTTGTATTCAACCCTAGGTTTGCCTATTACAAGTGTGCTCCTTGCCTCACGTGCAGTCTTCCTACAATCACTGTGAAAAGTATCACAAAGGGTGTGATATGGAAGTTGAAGTTCAAGTAGGTAAAGGTAACAGATTTCTTTGGTAGGTATTCTGCTATAGAAAAACAATGGGAAACTGTTTTTGTTTTGTTTTTAAAGTTTGTCATAGATTTGTCAGTCCTGAATAGATAATTTTGTTTTCAGAATCAATTATCAAGTTCTGAGCAGCATTCTGAAGTGCAGGTAGCTGGAAGGCAACTAAAACCGGGGGAAATAAGGTTGACATGAAGACAGTCAAGAGGGAAAAAAATGGATGTCCTTCAGAGCAGAGCTCATCATTTGGTCAAAATGGAATAGTTAATGTTGTTCGTTGGTTGACTGGTTGTTTTTTGTTGTTGTTGTTTTGTTTTGTGTGTGTAGTTTGTTTTTGCTATTAAATATTTCTGATAGGGTAAGAAGATGACTGATACCTAATGGACTTGAGACCTTTAAAAGCACATCCAGAAGCCAACTCATTCTTTACTTGTAAATGTATCCAACTGAGAATTTTTCTAACATATCTTCATTCACCAAGTCATTTGTTCTTTCTAGTTGGAATTATTTATTTTTCTGATAAACACGGATTAGCTTCTGCTTCTTAAATACACTGCCCTTTAGCACTTCACTTTACAAATCCCACATGGCTCAACATTAAAATTGCTGTTGTTAACACTGACCACAGGTAACTAGAACACTGTAGTTTTCAATATGTCTGTAAATTCATACACATGCATTTCTCTTTACTTTGTGTCTGTACCTGTCTTGAATAAATGGAAATAAAAAAAAAAAAGCTTCTTGGGTCAATGTTATTATTATTAATGGAATGAACAGCTTTTTAATTTATCTTTCTTGCAAAAAGAAACTACTTTCCCTAATGACTATTGCAGCAACCCCAAAATAAGTGGTTTGGTTAGCCACTCTAATAAACCAGAGACAAACCAGTACACATGCATAAAACCACAAGGGAAGTTTTAAGTCATTTTATCAAGTTCTTAATAAACCAATACCTAATAAAACACTAGCAATTATATTCACCTTTGGGACAAAACATCAAGTCATAAATAATACTATGTAGAGCAATCCAAGCACCACTTAGTAGCTATAAACCTAGAGGCTTTCCAAGTTAAGTGTTAAAAACCAATTCTTTGCCTCCAGCAAAAGGTAAGACATATAAAAAAAAATAAAAATTAATAAAAAAAAGGTAAGACATAAAAAGCTATGGCTTGAGAGCATTCAGCCACTGTATTAGAGCTATGCAATAACTAGCTACAAAACCTGCTGAACTCAATTGGTTCATGGTTACCTTGATATACAGAGAATCAACTTTTAAAATCATCTTAGAAACAGAAAGAAGCACTTGGATTGATTAATGGGTCACTGACCAAGTTCCAAAATCTGATAATAAATATCATAAAATATCCTATATTTCTTCAAAGAGGAAAAGAATCAAGCTAACTGTGGTGGTTTGGATGAGAATGGCCCCTACTTAGTGAAACTTTTTGGGAAGGATTAGAAGGTGTTACCTTGTTGAAGGAGGTGTATCACTGAGGGTGGACTTTGAGATTTCAAAAGCCTACCCGTTGTCAGTGTAGTCCTCTTTCCTTCTTATTTTCTTTCTCTCTGACTCATGCTTGTGGATCAGACGTAAACTCTTTGATATGGCTCCAAAGCTATGTCTTCCTGCCTGCTGCCTTGTGCCTCACCATGAAGGATACAGACTCTAACCTTCTGAAACTGTGAACCCCAAATTAAATGAGCCCCAAATTAAATGCCTTCTTTTATAAGCTACCTTGGTCTTGGTGTTTCATCACAGCAATAGAAAAGTAAATAAGACACTAACCTATAAAAACAATTAAGAGAAATAGAACAGATGAGAAGGACTTGTGTAGGTTGTAATTTCAGAGAATGAAATTAGAAATGGTTCTACTATGTATAGCTACTAAAAAAAATCAAAATGTATTATGTACTTCAACCAAAACACAAACCACAA